TGGGAGAACTTGCACAATTGGTGGCTGACTAAATACTTTTTTGCCCCACTGTAACTGTTAGGAGCACTTTGGAATTTGTGACATTTATGGCTGTTTAGTTCAAGAGATGCTCATTTATGATGATAGAGGAAATCACCCTTGATATCAAAAGTAAAGATTATGTCAGGAAGTTATTTAAACTTGTGTTTGTACATTTCATTTTAAACATACAAATTTTTAGCATCAGCTTGTTATTAATATCTACTGGCTGTGAGAAAGCACAGACCACATTCTGCAAGTACTCGACAAATAAAGAAGTTTAACAACAACCACTTAATTTGCATACCTTAACAACAGTATTCCAAGAAGGTTCCAGTAAGGCAGACCTCATATCTCTCCCAGTTCCATTGGTAAAAAATCATGAGACTATAACATACATTACTGTTTTTCAAGTTCTAAAGAAAAGATAAAGCATAATTAGAAAAAAAAAAGTATCAAACCATTAATTCCAAATTTAAAATATTAATTAAAAAAGCAGAGGTATAAATTAGAGACTGTATATAATACAGTTTCATGTAACTTTTTAAATTTTGATAAGGCAGGATGGTTATGCCAAGGCCTGTGTAATGTATGCAATTCCACTGTACCTATAGGTATCCCACTGCTTCCTAAGATATAATTAAGAGTTCCCTTGTGAAACCATGCACACATGATACATATATGTCATGATGGTTGCATGCACATAATATTAAAAAATGTAGCAAAAGTAATAAAGGAAGAAGTTTTCATTTGATACTGGCATTGGAAAGATAGCATTTTAGAAGGAACTATCAGGAGCATTTAATATGTTAACCAAACACAAAAAGCAAAACAAAAAGCAAACAAGCAAAATAAATCATATGTTGAAAACATGGCTTAAATGTTTCCCTTGCAATATTTGACTGTTTTTCAAATAAGGGACCGAAAGTATTTAATACTGAAAAATCCTGAAAATAAATCATTTTCATCTAAACCACTTCCCTATGACAGCTTTTAGGGTACTTCTCATAAGAGGAATGAAACATGGGCACCTGTCACATAACTTACATTTAAAGCACAATGCACAAACATACGTTTACATCTAGGATACTACCAAGGATGCAAGTTTCTTTTCCAAAACTATCTACAAATACATATTATATCACATATATCAGAAAATAAGTCCATTAGAAAAGACCTGGGTATGGTGCTATTTGACAGCTAAGAAAAATTCTGCATGTAATATAACTCAGTATGACTGAATTTTGCCACTGGTCCAGAAGCAACACTGAAAGCTTTTTAAAAAATTAATCAAATTTGCCCAAGTCAATTTATCTATCAATATTATTTTATGAATTAGTGTATGTAATATAATTGTAATTAATTTACACTATTTAAGCCAATATAATTATCAGTCTTTATATTTTGCATTTTATTTCCTTCCAACCTCACTGCTTACAGTGCACCCCCTCTACCATTGTACAGTACATACCTAGTACATGGAATCTGACAACTGGACAACATAAATGGATTCTGCGTGCCCTTACTATGGCTAAAAGACTTATATTGCAGCATTGGAAAGATAAATGTATGTCCCTATTTACTCAATGGATTGAAGACCTGATTACACTTGCCACCTATGAGTGGACTGCCTATAGACGTAGACTTTGTATGGATAATTATGATGAAATATGGAATTCGTTTATGCAAAATACAGTAGGTTTTTTTTTAAAAGAATGATAGTTATATAAATGTATTAGAAATAAATATATGTATATTTGCATAATGTTTGTATTAGAAAATTATATATAGAATTGTAATTGTTTATTGTTGTAACAACATATATTTTATATATTTTTTCTGTTGTATTCTTTTCACTTATTTTTTTAAGCACTTGTTATGTATTTTTATTTGATAATGTATTTTTGTGTTTTGTTCCTTTTTTCCCTTTCTGTTATTTTAAAAGACATACATACATACATACATACATACATACATACTGGAGACTACCTGTATCTATATTCCTGCCAAGTTAGGGTAGAAGTTCATACATCTAACTAAGTGGACTATAGTTATGGTAAATGCTTATGCTCTAAATTGTGTTAATTAATTTTGCCAAACATATACCTCCTTTAAATATACTGCCAAGCTTGCACCCCATAGGAAAACATTTCCAGGACATGATGGCGAAGGTATCAGTAATCCTGAGACAAGCATCTTGAATTAAGCAGGGATTTCAAGTAGGCAGCCCTGAGATGGGCCAATGGGGTAGTATGGAGTGAGGGCATTTTTGCAAGTCTCTTCCCTCCACTTCCCTAGTTTACATTGTCATATTCTAAAAAAGAAGCCGCCGTTCTCTTCAATCCTCAAGTGAAAATGCCTGTTATTCTTTTCCTTTTAAAAAACTTAGCTGTGCCTCTGATGGGACACAGAAGATACAGTACACACCTTCTGACTTCCCCTGGCCTGAAAGTAGCTTCTTTTTATATAGACACTTACAGGGGATGAAGATATTATCAATTGCTTCCTCGAGGTTAAGAACAAGCGCATATTCCTTTTGCTCCAGTAAAACTATTCTCCTGAAAATGAAAGGACACGGCCTTCAGTTGAAAGGAAAGGGGAGGGAAAGAAACTGGGACAAGTGAGGCTCCTAACCTTCGTGGCATTAAAGAACCGGGGACGGAAGAAGATACACGGTGCATTTTTCCTCATAGTTGTGACTCGGGAAGACGTCTACTGGTAAAACTCAAAGAGAGGTGATAGGGGAGCATTTGGGGAAAGGGAGAGGGTTACAAAATCCACTTCTCCGAGTTACGGAAGGGCTCCCGCGCACGCAGCCTGAAGCCTGGGAAGGAAAGCCTCCCTCCCCGGCAAACCGCGCTAAGGACGAGCGGGAGAAGCGAGGCAGGGACGCGCGCCTGCAATTTATCAACCTGTGCGTGGAAGGGGGCGCCCGACCCGGCCTACCTTAGCGAGGCTTTGCTGCGCGCCTTCCCCGCCTCTCCTCCGTAGTCTTAACGCAGGGAATCCGGCCGGGCGTTAAGGGGGCAGCGCTGAGAGGCAGCGGCAGCGGCAGCCACCGCCGCCGCCTTTCGCCCGTCTCGGCCTGGAACTCCCGGGGGGACCGGCGGGATTTCCGCTCCGCAGCAACGCGGGGAGGCTGCAGCCGTCGCGGTCAGAGCGGCGGAAAGGGCCGAGGCAGCGACGCGGCCTAGCACATTCCCGGCGCCTCCAAAGCGACACGTCGCGACCATGGACGACTCTGGGCCGAGCCACTCGGCCGGCGGCAGCGCAGCGACCGCACCGGCCACGGGCAAGCGCCGCCTCTCGTCGCAGCCGTGACTGGGAGGAGGAGGAGGAGCCGTGCAGCTCCCGGTGCCGCTGCCGCTGAGCCCAGGCTTCTGCTCCGTGCCCTTTCTCTTTCTCTTCGCGCTGCTCAGGGGAGACCCTCCGGTAGCCACGGAGGAGGAGGGGTGGCGGACAGAGGCGGAAAAGCTCTCCAAGGCCGGCCCCCACCGCGCCGCCGAAGGCGAAGGGGCGAATGGCGCCCCCTTCCCTTCTCGCCGAGGCTCTTTTCCCCCTGAGCTAGGAACGAGGCCGCCATGGTTTAGCCAGATTTTGCTTGAATCCGCTTGGCGCAGCCACTTTGTGGTTCGGTCTGGCGTGCGAACCCAAGCAATTTAGGGTAAACTGAGGAAATCATGGTATTTCCCCCACCCCCCATTAGGTGGAAGAGCTGTGTTTTCTTACTATAGGGGAAACTTATAGCTGGCATCAGAATCACGATGACCCAGCCTCCTGGAGCCACTTACTTTACTTGGGTTTGGGAGGGAAAGTCTTTCTGTCCAAACCTCAGATTTTTTCAAGCTCCTACTCTTCACTTCGAATTGAGCCCAGAAACATACTGATTTCCGTTGGCAATACAGTATCACAAGACTCAGAGCAATACGCTACATGTGCCCAGCTCTAATAAAACTAGGGGCTATCCTGTGGACCAACTACATTGTCTTTTTATGCACTTTTCAAAGGCAATGCTTTTCAATACTTCTTTAAGACTGCACTATCTATGTGATCACTAGGAGTCAAAAACAACTTGATGGCACATAATTAAGATTGCACGTTTTCACAGCACAATTTTGTGCACATTCATGCAAAAGAATTGAGTATGTTGAGTTTGATAGGGTTGCCTTAAGAAAGTCGATGAAAGAAGAAGCTTGGCCTGTAAATTCTTTGCCTGCTTATTTGGAAGTAAATTCTATTCAAATCAAGAACTTATTTGGAAAAAAAATCAGGTTGGGTTGTTTATTTCCATTCCTCACTCCCCTTCCTCCTTGTAATTCACATTTCCTTCCTTATCAGCCCTACCGAAGTCCTCACAAAATTTAGCTTGGGCATAATTACAAATAATTTTACATGAATCAGAGTATTTTAAAATAAAAACATTAGTAGGTACTATTTATGTAACTCAAAAATTGCCAATACCTTTAGAAAAGAACATTTTTATTTATTAAATAATAAAATCCAGTAAATAAATATTATAAAATTATGGTTGTACATTGTATGTGTATATGTATAAAATAGCCATAAAAATAAAGTATCAGTTAAAATTCTAGAAACAACACTATATATATAATACTAAAATTAGTATTACCATCATAAAATTCTCAGATATTAAAAAAAAACCTGAGAAAGTTAAAAAGTTGAGTCATCACCAAACTGATTTCACTCTATCAAAATGTAGCCATCTTCTGCAGTTAGCAAAAATACTTGGGGCTATGTTTTCGAAGGTAAGTGTTGTTCAGTCGTTCAGTCGTGTCCGACTCTTCGTGAGCTGTATCAAATTGTTTTAAGGGTGCTTGAATGAGAATTCTGAAATTAATGATAGATCAGAAACGTTAAATGCGGCCAAATAATAAACTCTGTAGTAAGATATACAAATTCATACTTTTTTTTTTTTCTTAACAAAGTCAGTACCAAGTCTTTCTACATGCTTAGTCTTACATACTTGGCTCCATCCTCCACTAATTATGAAATATTGGTTAATGTTGTGAATTGTTACTGAATGTGCTTAGACTGACTACATTACTGTTATGTTCTCACTTACCATCTGGCATGCTGCAAACAAATTCTTTGATTAACCAGATGGCAACAAAAAATGCATCAAAACCTAATCAGCAACGATCTCATTTGAGCATTGTGGAGTAGAAATCAGAATATTGGCTTGCAAAACTAGGCAGTTGGTTTCTACTCATCTTTCTCTGGGTGAACTTTAAATCAGATTTCATTTTGCAATTTCAAAGTCAGTGTATTAGAAGCATAATCAGAGATTACTAGAAATATGTATATTATTATCTGTTACTCAAGGGTGCAATGCTGCATATGTGAGAGAAGATAAATTCCAATGAAATACATTAGATTTACTTTCAGCTAACTATATTAAGGAGCCAATTTGTAAATAAGGAACTACAGGAGGATTACCTTCAAGTTAGGTACCCATGTGTGATAGGGGGCTACTCTTCTTATTTTTTATTTTATTCATTTATTAGGGAGCAGATGGAGCTGCTGTGGTGGGGTACTGATGTAAATATAGGTGTGGCTGGGCCTCTTGGGTGGAGAATTATTGTTGATGAAGGATTTGGTTTAGTGAGGCTAAGTAACATTGAACCACTGAATCTTTGTGGTTTCTTGTCAAATTTGGCTGTATGTTCTCTGGACATGCAATACGGGATTTGTGATTATCCAACTCTGACAATGAAAAATCTTTGTTATCCTTTGTTGTATTCCCAAGTCAATAATGTGATTTTAATTATGATTTAAACTCAGTGTCTCCAGTATTCAACTACAGGTATTCCTCAGTTAATGATGGCAATCGGGACTGAAATTGCCATCGCTAAGTGACATGGTCGTAAAGCACAACGTCATGTGAGACTCCCAGTTGCCATCGTTAAGCAAATCATTACGGGTCATTAAGCGAGATCATATGGTTGCTATTTGTGACCTCCTGCCAGCTTCCCCATTGACTTTGCTTGTCCGAAACCAGCAAAGGTGATCGCAAATGGTGACCACGTGATCATAGGATGCTGCAATGGCTGGAACTCCAAGGACCAGTCATTAGTACCACTCATTCAGCACCATCTCAAGTTCAAACAGTTGCTGAACAAGTGGTTGTTAACTGAGGAACACCTATAATAAAAGGTTTTCAGAAACAATAAAGACCGTATAGCTCTTTTTTCTGTGTTTAGTTTTCATTTTTTTGAAGAAACATAATGCCTTTCAGAGACATCAGAAAACACATGTAATTTATTATGTATATATGAATACAATAATTGTGTGCATTCTGGTATTTCGGACAGTGAATGGAACAGAAAAACTACTGATACTACTTATGATCAAGAGAAAGAGTGTTGTTCTACTATTAACCAATGTCATAAAAGGAGGGTATTTGTTCATCTGTCTCTTGTCAATTGTAGCATTAATTGTATTCCAATAGACCATAAATGGATTGTTGTATATGACTTGTACCGTGCAATAGGATAGATATTGATATCCTGTTTAGAGGATAAGCTGATGGCATGGTATTAAGTTTTTAGTTTGAGAATTGTGACAAATATTTACTTTCTTGGCTTGAGAGAAACTTGGTGGGAAATAAATAATCTGCTTACTTTTCTGCGGGTTTCTGCAAGTTCATCTTGTCTTTATATCTTTTGACTATGAAATGTCTGCTTAGGTCAGATTCCTAGTACTTAGTTACTATGCAGCAAAATGCATGCTCTTTCTATTATATAACCACTGTGAAGCAATCTGAGACATAGCTTTTAGATTTTGTTCAACAGTTGAGCCTGACAGCTAAATAAGAGTAACCCAAAGATAAAGTTAAACCATCACGTTAAGCTCAACTCCTAGTGACTTATGGACAGAAACATGCAGTTTTCTTGACTGCAGAACATAAGGGTTTGCTGTTTCCTTCCTCTGGAATGTTTTCTTGACTAGCCCATAGCTCTGGTCTTCTTCTGAGATCTCCCATTGAGGTTTCCAAGTACTAATCAGTCCCAAGCCTACTCAGCTTCTGAGTGCAGAAAAGGTTGGCCTGATATGCCCACCAGTTGCCTACTACAAAAATACTACTTGTCAGACCATGTATAGTCCATGAGTTCCATGCAGGTTACCCAAATTAAGCAATATATTGGACAATTAGGAATATCTGTTGTATTTATTTTTTTTCCTAGCAATTTAGATCAAAACTATTTAGACCAAGAGCAGATTAACAAGGCCTTGATTTAGAGGTTGTGAATTTCAACTGTTAATGCAATGTTGTTGTTATTTTTCCTAAAAGGAAAAAAAATTAAAGGTTCTCTTTTCAGTAGTCTGGAGTCCATGATTTACATAATATGATGCTGATGTTGAGGATGATGCTGTCATTGAAAGAAAATTATTAAAGTAGCAGTTAAGTATGTGCTTTGATGTATAGAACAAAACAAGTCCCCTAGCAGTTTTCATATGGCTTATTTTGGTTTGTGTGTGATAGTGGTAAGGGCATTAAAAAGTAGCAGGCTTAATGAATTAGAAGTCCTGAAATCAAAGGTTTAGATTTGTCTGTGTCTATGTTAACAATGGGATTATGCATGATCCTCATTACCAAAGGAAATGCCAAAGTAATGAAAAAGCAAATGTTATAACTTGTGATTTGATTGGTTTTGGTAAACAAAAGGCATCAAAGACACCATTAAGGTGGATGCTCCCAAAGGAAGCAAGCAAAAATAAACCAACAGGATTAATTACTAATTAAGTAGCTTATAGTGGGTTAATGAATTCTCAAAAGCTTTAATTTAAAATTATTTGCTTAGAATAGCATAGATTTAAACTATATTGTTGAACACACTTATGAGAAAGCATATCCCACTGAATTCAACTGAAGCAATTGCTGTGTGTGTGTGTGTGTGTGCGTGCATGTATGTGTACTACTGTATTTCCTATGCATGTTTCAGAGAAAAACAATCCTCATCTACATTATTTGCTTAGAATAGCATAGATTTAAACTATATTGTTGAACACACTTATGAGAAAGCATATCCCACTGAATTCAACTGAAGCAATTGCTGTGTGTGTGTGTGTGTGTGCGTGCATGTATGTGTACTACTGTATTTCCTATGCATGTTTCAGAGAAAAACAATCCTCATCTACATGGGGGGGGTGGTGGTTGGTTCTAATTTCTCAATTGTTTTATTTTCCCCTTTCTTGTAAATGAGGTAACTGAACCCTGCTCCATTAAGAGGAGAGGTAATGTCTATGTCTCAGTGCCTTTCCCTTCAGAATAATTACATACATGTGTACCCATCACATTATTCCTTTCAGTGTAATCAGAGCTGTGCACGGTACAGAAAAGGAGTAAGAAATAATAAGCCAAATATATTAAAGGCATGAGATAAGAAAAAGAAAAGGAAACATAGCTAAAGCTAGTTTACCCC